GTGGTGGTAGTATTAGTAGTAGTAGTAATAGTAGTAGTAGTAGTTGTTGTTGTTGTTGTTGTTGTTGTTGTTGTTGTAGTAGTAGTAGTAGCAACAGCAGCAGCAGCAAGGGTAACAGATAGATAAAGAAAAATATATGTGAAGGAGGAAGAGGAAAAAGAACAACAGTAGGGGGTGGGTGGGGGGGGGGGTTAGTAACGACACTAATAATATATCTTGTGTTCAAGTGTAATAAAATATTCATTAACTGTTGGTGCTATAATGTTGTGTTGATGTTGTCATTGAAACAATGTTCTCACATTTAAGCACATAACTCCTATAGAAATTAAAAAATTTCAAGAAAAAACAAACTACGGTAGCACTAAAACATGACCTTGAATGAAAGTTCCATATTTTCACCTCCCCACACAGCCAGTTCAGGGTCGTAGGTGCCCAGATTTTGGAAAAATTCTCGATGTATGGCAAACAGCCCACCAGGCATAGTAGGAGATCTGGCCAATACAAGGATAAATAGTTTGTCAGTTCAAGATATGCAGATAGGTATACCTACATCTAATCTATTAATCTATATGTATACATGACCGAAATAATCATTGAGTACACTAAGCACGTGTTTAGGGCATCACAAAGGGAGAGACACTAATTACATTTTCTAAAGCTTTGGAGCTAAGCATTTATTTTTTCAGTTACTGTATGTATTTTTTAAAACATCCCATCAGAAACACAGTGTACAAACTCAAGCTGGACGTTTTATCTCTGTCAAGTACAGAAGCTGGTGTGTTACATCAGATTAGTTTGAGCATCTGATCACAGATTTTGCATTTTTAAAATCAGCGGGAAAAACACACACACACACACACACACACACACACACACACACACACACACACACACACACACACATGAACTGATATTTTTTTCCACCTCACTGTTAGATTTGTGTAATTATGACACATACAGTTTTATTTGATGATTTATTATTGTTCATATTGTGAATGACATATATATGGGAGCACCAGTGTCTTACTACGACTACTAGGCACTTGACCAGGCCCGCTAGTAACTTGACCAGACCCGCTAGGCACTTGACCAGGCCCGCTAGGCACTTGACCAGGCCCGCTAGGCACTTGACCAGGCCCGCTAAGCACTTGACCAGGCCCGCTAGGCACATGACCTGGCCCGCTGGGCACTTGACCAGGCCCGCTGGGCACTTGACCAGGCCCACTAGGCACTTGTCCAGGCCCGCTAGGACTTGACCAGGTCTGCTAGGCACTTGACCTGGCCCGCTAGGCACTTGACCAGGCCCACTAGGTATTTGACCAGGACTTATGGAATAAAAGGGTTTTAATCCAGCTTTGCATGTATAGCCATACATACTACCATTCTATACACAAAGCCATACATACTACCACTCTATACACAAAGCCATACATACTACCACTCTATACACAAAGCCATGCATAATACCACTCTACACACACAGCCATACATACTACCACTCTATACACAAAGCCATACATACTACCACTCTATACACAAAGCCATGCATACTACCACTCTATACACAAAGCCATACATACTACCACTCTATACACAAAGCCATACATACTACCACTCTATACACAAAGCCATACATACTACCACTCTATACACAAAGCCACGCATACTGCCACTCTATAAACAAAGCCATACATACTACCACTCTATACACAAAGCCATACATACTACCACTCTATACACAAAGCCATACATACTGCCACTCTATACACAAAGCCATACATACTGCCACTCTATACACAAAGCCATACATACTACCACTCTATACACAAAGCCATACATACTACCCCTCTATACACAAAACCATACATAATACCACTCTATACACAAAGCCATGCATATTACCACTCTACACACACAGCCATACATACTACCACTCTATACACAAAGCCATGTGTGATGACCCTGCTTTGCATGGTCTCCACGAGTACATTGTGGCAAGCAGGAAGTCCGTGCTACAAGTGACGGCACGAGATACTTGTGGCCGGTGGAGTAAGCGAGGCGAAGCCCGAGCTAGCCTCGTGGTCAGTCGATCATCAGAAGTCAGGGAAGAAGGTTGTAGTATTTGAGGATGTAGTTTTTATGTTGTGAATGATTAGTGTTCGCATATGTCGCGAGTGAAATAAATGTGAGATAAATGGACCAGAATAAACTGACAGAATGTACTTTGAAGCTGAGTGGCGTTAGTGTGTCAACCCTAGACGTTAAAGTTGGTGTAAACCAAGGTACATTTCAAGTCTACGTTTCGGTTCATTCCAAGTGGGGAGCTTGTCCGAAGGAAATTCGAAACCACGCGGACCTCAATCATATGAAAACAATTTTTCTTGCAAGGTAAGATAAACATGCGGAATACAGTGTACAATACAACGTTTTTACCCGAGCAGGGCCTGTAATTAACACAGCAAGCTGCCACAGGTCAGCTGCCGACCAATGAAAACCGGTGTGTCATCTACGCCCGGCCACACACCGGATCACTCAGTTTTGTGAATTCAGGAAGTTTCATGGTCACCAGAGTTACACATCGTAAATATTATAAATCAAGTTTGTGAATTAAATCAGATTTGTGACGATTATTGTTTCGGAAACCAGCAGACTATGAACTAATTTTATTTACAAAGGTATGCTAAGTTTTCTTACTGCGGTGACATTTTTTGCATCGATGTGCGTTTATCAGAATGTCGTCTAAAAGGTTGGTAAAAAGTAAGAACACTGTCTTGCAAGTATCTTTAGCGACAACAATGAAAGATACATCAATAAGTAACCAGAAGATCAAGATGTGCATTTTTTGTAAGTACCAGCACAGTTCTGCAACTATCTGCGACAGAGATCCTAAATATTCAAGTTATATTGAAGACTTGGTCAATAAAAAGTGGCAAAATAAACAAAAGAATAACCTTAAAAAGTGCCACTTTTGTAAAGCATTCGGACATATTGTAAAACACTGTGTTGGGAAACAGATGTTAAAAGACAAGAAAAGATCCTTGTTTGCAAAAACTAATTCAGTTACAATGGATTCAGAAGGTATTCCTACTCTAGATTGTTCACTGTGCTACTGGAGAAAGAATCAAGGAAAAGTTACAGCTCCACATATCATGTTTATAGGAAACAACCAATTGAAATGTCCAGGAACTAAAAAGATTAATAACGAAATTGTGATTGCAGAATTAGAATCCAGCAAGAGTAGTAATACAAGCAAGAAAGTTGAAACGAAAAAGACAACAGCCACTGAAACAGAGAAAAAGTCAAACTCAGAAACAATGAAAATTAATCAAGCAAAGGATATCACTGTTCCAACAATGACATCAGTCGAGACAAAAGCAACTCAGTGTATGAAAAAGACAGATTGTGAAATAATAGATAGGCAAACTGTGGATAAAGAATTTTCATTCTTAGAGGACAATAAATATATAGATTATGATCAATTCCACAGAGCAACAAGTCAGAAATATTGTGTAAAATCAACTAAATGTTTGATAAACAAGAAACCAGCACAAATGCAATTAAATAGAAAATCAAATATCACTTTGGTACGTGAAAATGTTTTAGAAAAATCAGATTATAGCGGAGAAATGGTTTACTGTGTAAACAGATTTTTTTATGCGATTTTGGACAGCTTACATCTATTTGAAGTCGCCCTATATATCAAGACCATTGAAAGTAGTGGTAACGGACAACATCGGAACAGATGTGATTCTGGGATACAAAGACTTCAGCATTAGAGACTGTTCTGATGAAGACATACGAGTCTGGGAACAAAGTCATCTCCATCAACAAAAATAACAGCTGATTCAAGGAAAATTACCATCTTTATTTATCAACTGAAGTATCACTATTTACTAACTTGAAACCATACAGTCCATCATCCTGAACATCATCAATTTAACATATCACCATGCATGAAGTTCAATATTATTATCAGTCAAGAAGCTACATAGCTTCAACCAAACGATCAAGAGTGAACCTGAACAATTATCAAGAATTGACATTTTACCATTCTTCACCTCAAGATTGTCATATTTCAACCTAAATCAGAAATCACCAACCAGTACTGTACAGTGAATGAACAGAAACATATCAGCCACTGAATTATTCAAACCTGAAAATCACCATCAAGGAACACGAAATTGTTTTTTCTCCAGACACCTCAAAATCAACGATTTTCAACGAAGATCAAATAGCTGGGTGCGTGTTTATAGACTTTAGAAAAGCCTTTGACATGATAGACCATACTATCCTTATTAGAAAACTAGAAATAATGAACTTCAATTGTAACCTATTAACGTTATTAAGATCCTTTCTGTTAAATAGGAAACAGGTAGTTTCATACAATAAATCCCTGTCACAGACTACTGTGGTGAATACTGGAGTACCCCAAGGCTCTATTCTTGGCCCTCTGTTATTTGCCGTTTATATAAATGATCTTCCTTTATGTCTGTCGTCGCCGTGTGATTTATTTGCAGATGACTGTACAGTCTATACAAGTGCTCAAACGTGCGATAGTCTAGAGTCATCATTACAACAGGAATTAAACAATGTTGTTTCCTGGAGCTATGCAAACCGCATGCAAGTAAACATTAGTAAAACAAAATGCATGTTAATATCAACAAGACAAAAGCTATATTCTTTATCTGCACATAATACTCTTCAACTCTACATAAGTAACAACCCAGTAGAATGTGTAACTGAGCACAAATCTTTAGGCGTAATTATTGATAGAAATTTAACCTTCACTTCTCATGTGCAAGCTCTAGTGAAACAAACAGCTAAAAAGGTATACCAGCTTGCAAAAATTAAACACTTTCTGGATGAAAACACCAGAAGGATATTCTATACCTCCCATATTCAGACCCATCTAGACTACTGCTCCACAGTATGGGATGGCTGTCCAAGTTCAGTCATGAAACGGCTTAAAGCACTTCAAAAAAGAGCTGTACGCTTAGTCAGTAATAACCATGGAAGAGATAGTTCCAGTTTACATAAAGATCTTAAGTTACTACCCTTCCATAAACGGTTACTTTTCAACAAGGCCAAATTTATTAACAAAATCTTATCAAAAAATGCTCCAGATTACCTTTGGCCATTATTTAAGTATAATGTGCGACATAGCAAACGCCTAAACATATTACACATCCCTAAACCTAGAATAGACTTGTACAAAACAAGCTTGGCGTACTCTGCAGCTCATCTGTGGAACCAACTTCCACAACCAATTAAAAATATCAAAAACCCCTATAAATACAATTGGAAGCTTTTTGAATATTATCTCACTTCAGACTACATGCCCCCTTAGAAGATAAAGTTTCCTAAGAACAATGTTGATTTCCACCAAGATTGATTATATTTAGTATTATAATTGTTTTAAAATATAGGCATACTTAGAGTGCATTGTTACAAACATGTTATTAATGATGCCTGTAATTGTCATTATTGTTTTTTATTATTATTATTATTATTATTATTATTATTATTATTATTATTATTATCTTCTTAAACAATGTGTGCATAAATAATGTATGCATGGCGTAAGGCCAGAAGGGCAGAATGTAAGACGGGCCTGTGTGCCCAATTCTTAACCCTTTGAAAATAAAGATTGTTCGTTCGTTCGTTCGTTCGTTCGATTGAAACATCTCAAAATCATCAAATTCTAAGCGAAACTTCAAGACCAGCTATACAAATCGACATCAAGATCATCGAATACCAAACGTATCATAAAATAAAGAATGCGAGAATAATGAAGCATTCCGACTGTCTAAACGCAATCAAGAACAACAAAAACGTCAGTATTACATCGTGTTTACACAATTGTGATAGCTACTGTGAAAGTTAGATTATGTTACATACCTAAAGTTTTGTGTAAATAAATATGAAATTAATGATGAAGTATTTTAAAAAAGTGCATAAACACCTGATTTCATTTATAAAAAACAGCCACATACTGTGTGTATTGAACACCTTCCGTTTCATTCCATTATTAATTATTTTATAGGTGGCATATCAGTGTATACAGTCACTGAACACTGATAATAGCATTGTGTTAACTCTTAAAATCAAATTATATTTTTAGTCAGTATATCTCTAAGATTATCAGTTCAAGCCTACTGAGAGGCCCCAGAGCAGAGCACACTGTCGAGCAAACCAAGGAATGAGAACCTTGAAAGCAAGCGCCAGAGTACAAGCAAGACACACACAGCCTGCAGGGATGGATCAAGATCAAGGATAGTTAGTGGAATGAATGGGAATGAAAGAGAATAAAACAGGTATGAATGATGAATGAAAGATTTGTGGGTAGTATTTTAATAGTGTACATAAAGTTTACTTAGGTTAGTAGTTCAAAAGTTTAAAAAAAAAAAATTCTCTCCCCAGGTACAGCACAAAAGAATTAGATCGAGATTTAGCGATAGATCATATAGACATTTTTTTCCACAGAATGACTTAGATAAGAAATTCAATTAAAAATGTTTTAAGCATAGGTGTACAACACAGGGACATGGTAATTTTGTCCACGACACCCAAGATTATAAACTGCTATAATTATACCGATGCTGACTAGACTGATGGTAAAGAAAGAGTGCACACATCAAAGCACAAGCACAGTAGAGGAGTTGAACTCATCTGTGTCCATCTAAAGGGGGAAAGGTGTCTGGGATTCCTTGGAGTTGAATACTCTGTTAAAGGTGTTATAGACTTGGAGGAAACTCTAAGATCTATGAAAAAATATATCTCAACTCTCATTATTTTTATGTTGGATTCCTTGGAGTTGGGTAATTACTCTGTGAAAGGTGAGACTTTGGTCTATGAAAAAATATCTCAACATGCATTTTTTTTTCTGTGGTAGATTCCTTGGGGTTGGGTAATTACCCTGTAAAAGGTGTTATAGAGGCTTTTGGGAAACCGGAAGCACTATGAAAAATATATCTCACCACTATCATATCGGCTAAGAGTCCTTGGGGTTTAACACCCTGTGAAAGGTGATGTAGAAATATTGGTTAAATCCAATTTTCTATGTAGTAAATATCTCAAAGCTGACATCATCATCATCACTATCATCATTTCACTTTAAACCTAATAGATTAGATATAGTGACTAGACAACACTACAGATGCAATAGGTGCAAAGATGGTTTAAACTCTTCACCAGCTCAGTACTAGGAAAAGCATGCAGTAAATATTGAGGTAGTTTTAAAGGGCAGTAATTGAGGATAATCAGGAACCATAATCCCTAGTGGCAATACAATTAAATTGATTTACTATATATGGTTAAATGAAAATGACACTTGATGTTCCATAAAGTGTCATTTTGTTAAAAAGGGGGGAGAGTGTGATGACCCTGCTTTGCATGGTCTCCACGAGTACATTGTGGCAAGCAGGAAGTCCGTGCTACAAGTGACGGCACGAGATACTTGTGGCCGGTGGAGTAAGCGAGGCGAAGCCCGAGCTAGCCTCGTGGTCAGTCGATCATGAGAAGTCAGAGTAGACGGTTGTAGTAATTGAAGATGTAGTTTTTATGTCGCGAGAATGGTTAATGTTTGAATATGTCGCGAGTGATAGAATTGAGAATAATTGTTTAAGCATGTTGAATACATGGACCAGAATAAACTGACAGAATGTACCAAGAAGCTAAGCGGCGTTTGTGTTGTCAACCCTAGACGTTTAAGTTGGTGTAAACCAAGGTTCATTCCAAGTAGACCATGAGTCATTCCAAGCAAGGCTCGACACATTCTAAGTTGAATCAGGTACACTCCAAGTCTACGTTTCAATTCATTTCACCATGCATACTACCACTCTATACACAAAGCCATACATACTACCACTCTATACACAAAGCCATACATACTACCACTCTATACACAAAGCCATACATACTACCACTCTATACACAAAGCCACGCATACTGCCACTCTATAAACAAAGCCATACATACTACCACTCTATACACAAAGCCATACATACTACCACTCTATACACAAAGCCATACATACTACCACTCTATACACAAAGCCATACATACTACCACTCTATACACAAAACCATACATAATACCACTCTATACACAAAGCCATGCATATTACCACTCTACACACACAGCCATGCATACTACCACTCTATACACAAAGCCATGCATACTACCACTCTATACACAAAGCCATGCATACTAACTCTCTATATAAACAGCCATACATACTACCACTCTATACACAAAGCCATACATACTACCACTCTATACACAAAGCCATGCATACTGCCACTCTATATACAAAGCCATACATACTACCATTCTATACACAAAGCCATACATACTACCTTTTTATACACAAAGCCATGCATATTACCACTCTATACACAAAGCCATACATACTACCACTTTATACACAAAGCCATACATATTAAAACTCTATACACAAAGCCATGCATACTACCACTCTATACACAAACCCATGCATAATACCACTCTATACACAAAGCTATGTATACTACCACTCTACACACAGCCATACATATTACCACTCTACACATAGCCCTACATACTAACACTCTACACAAAACCATACTTACTACCACTCTACACAGAAAGCCATGCATACTACCACTCTACACACAAAGCTATACATACTACCACTCTACACTCAGCCATACATACTACCACTCTACACACAAAGCCATTTATTCTACCTCTCTACCACACAAAGCCCTACATAATAACACTCTAAACAAAGCTAAACATACTGTCACTCTACACACAGCCATACATACTACCACTCTACACACAGCCATACATACTGCCACTCTACACACAAAGACATGCATACTACCACTCTACACATAGCCAATCATACTACCACTCTACTCACAAAGCCATTTATTCTACCACTCTACCACACAAAGCCCTACATAATACCACACTTCACAAAGCCATACATACTGTCACTCTACACACAGCCATAATACTACCACTCTACACACAACCATACATACTGCCACTCTACACACAAAGACATGCATACTACCACTCTATACACAAAGCCATGCATACTAACACTATATATAAACAGCCATACATACTACCACTCTATACACAAAGCCATACATACTACCACTCTACACAAAGCCATACATAATACCACCCTACACACAGCAATACATACTACCACACTACACACAGCCATACATACTACCACTCTACACACAGCCATACATACTGCCACTCTACACACAGCCATACATACTACCACTCTACACACAGCCATACATACTACCACTCTACACACAGCCATACATACTACCACTCTACACACAGCGATACAAAGTACCCCTTCACACAAAGCAATACATACTACCACTCTGCACAAAACCATACATACTACCACTTTACACACAAGGCCATACATACTGCCACTCTACACACAAAGCCATACAGACTACCACTCTACACACAAAGCCATACATACTGCCACTCTACACAGACAGGCATACCTACTACTACTCTACATAGATAGCCATATATACAACCACTCTGGATAGATAGCCATATATGCAACCACTCTACATAGATAGCCATATATACAACCACTCTACATAGATAGCCATATATATACAACCACTCTACATAGATAGCCATATATACAGCCACTCCACATAGATAGCCATAGATAAAAACACTCTACATAGATAATCATATATAAAACCACTCTACATAGATAGCCATGGATACAACCACTCTACATAGATAGCCATATATACAACCACTTTACATAGATAGCCATATATATACAACCAATCTACTTAGACAGCCATATATACAACCACTCTACATAGATAGCCATATATACAACCACTCTATATAGATAGCCATATATACAGCCACTCTACATAGATAGCCATATATACAACCACTCTACATTGATAGCCATATATACAACCACTCTACATAGATAGCCATATATACAACACTCTACATAGACAGCCACATACACTTCTACTCTACATAGATAGGCTTACATGCTACTATACATAGCTATAGATGTGTATACTACACCACACGGAAAACCATATATATTACAATCTACAAAGGAGATCATGAACGATGCCACGCCTACAAGGGAAATATTGCCTCACTCACTGACCGGATACTATCGGACTCATCGTGCCGCAGGGCCAACACTCTGTCTGGGATAACTTCCCACTCCATCATCAGAAATTTCCAGTTGAAGCCGCAGTAAGATCTGGGACGTTCCGGGCACTTCAGCTCAAACGTGTCTTTACGAATGGATGGTATCTGTGGGAATACTACAGTCTTCTGGTCCCCGGATATGCGAACCAGCATAGGTTCTGCCCAGCCTGAAACACAGTATAATAGAGGACGTTTCCTAGCTGAAAGTCGCAATTATGATGCCTTAACTAGGTTTTTGATCATTCTTTCTTCCTATATTGTAAGGTGAGATAAAACTTTCATGTGTAAACTTTCGCCATCTAGCTAAAACTAGGAACTAAAGGAAGTAGCAACAAAACAAAAACAAAAAAGCAGAGAAAAGAACAAAGAGAAATAAAGCGATGATAATTATAGTGATCATTATGATCTATGTAGAGATTATATGTGAACAAAACAAACACAACCGCGAACATCACACTGCACAAAGGCTCTTGATATCAAAGAAGAATGTAGACAAAAATTGACGTTTCACTTATAACATCCAAAAATACAATTCTGTTTTTCTGCTTCTTATGTAATAATTCTACGTGTTTATAACCAACTTATCGTGCCCGACTACTTCCATCAACTATAAACTGCATTTCTGGTAGCCACTGTTGGCTTTGGCGCCTCTAGCAACTGCTATTTGCATTTACTGCGTGTAAATATTACTAGATTGTTCCGGGACTTATTGTTTGTTCACCAGTTTTTCAATGCTGGACATTTCATGTGATTCTCACTGGCACAGGAACGAAGCAAGTCTGGGGGGATGTGACGACAGTGAGGGTAACACCTCGACTAAGACTGCGACTAAAATACAACACACATTGCATAAGGTTTCTGTATCTGTCCTTTCCAGCCATCAGCATTTTCCTGTTCTCTTTACTCATCAAAGGTTTTGGTATCATCACATCAACTGTGTGTAGGTAACGAGTGATTTATGAATGGGGCACTAGTGCTAGCATCGCTTTAGGTAGTTAGCTTCATCGGAACATTTTCTTCAGCTATGCCGGTGCGTTGGGAAACGAACAGGCAGATAGTTTGGCAAGTTCTGCACCATTTGGTAATGAACTGATGCATGAGAGCCTAGACGTGGCAAGTTTTTTTTGGCAGAAAGTGAAAATGGTTGAGACACCAACAGATCGTCACGTTATGTGTAAACTGGTGACGCGAGGTATGACTAGCGGATGCGGCCAATGCTCAACACTCAGGCAAAAGGCGAGACAGATACACAATCAGACAGTTACTGGCGCCATTTGAATTGAAACCACGCATTTGGTGCTGAAGACAGGGACAGAACGTTTGTGGAAATTTACCCAGGGCTGTGATGTCATTTCTTAATTCAACAGTCAACCTTCTATGCAGGTATTCAACATATGACATAAATACTGGGATATTTCTCCTTTGGGGCCGCGATAACAATTGGTGCACCCACCTACACCCATAAATATACTCACCTGGAAAGCACTCAATGTGCGAGTCGAGAAACACAACAACCGGTGCCACCGAGGCTTCAAACCCAACCAGTCTGGCTTTGATCAGACCAAGTCTTTTCGGGGAGTGAATAATTTCCACAACTGGAAATGAACTGAAGTATTTATCCAAGGGCGCCTTTAGGAACTCTGTAAAATACATCAATAAAACAACAGCAAAACTAAGCAATATTATTCCAGACACTGTTTTAATCTTTCTGGTGGTCAGCAACGGTGCACAAATATCGTTTTATAAAAGATCATATTTTTATCGCTTCTGTGATAGACACTTTATTGTCGGTAACGGCACCTTCTTAGACATCCTAGCGGGACTACTGGTACTGTTGTTTTGAAGGAAACAACCTCTGATTCTGGCAATAAAAGGCAAGTGAAAATAACGAAAGCCTGGACAAAGAAGATACCGTGTAACTGTCTTATTCTCAACAACAACAACAACAACAAAACTCATAGCTACTGAAAGAAACTTTCTTTTAACACTCAAAATCTGTGTATGTTAATGATATAAATTGTTTAAATTGTACCCAAGAAAACCTCAGGGTTCAAAAAATCAATTGAGTTCTTTTACATCTGAGCCACCGATAGTTTTAGGCGTGTGGGTTTCCCGTCAACTGATAAAAACGCGCACGTGACTGAATCCACCCAACTAACATAGAATATAAGACAACACATGAATCCACCATGTTGACATAGAATGTAAGACAAAGCACGAATCCACCAAATTGAAAAAGAATGTAACACAACATATGAATCCACCCAGCTGACATAAAATGTAAGACAACACATGAATCCACACAGCTGACATAGAATGTAAGACAACACATGAATCCACACAACTGACATAGAATGTAAGACAACACATGAATCCACGCAGCTGACATAGAATGTAAGACAACACATGAATCCACACAGCTGACATAGAATGTAAGACAACACATGAATCCACACAGCTGACATATAATGTCAGACAACACATGAATCCACACAGCTGTCATAGAATGTAAGACAACACATGAATCCACACAGTTGACATAGAATGTGAGACAACACATGAATCCACCCTGTTCACACAGAATGTAAGACAACACATGAATCCACACCGCTGACATAGAATGTAGGACAACACATGAATCCACCCAGCTGACATCGAATGTAAGACAACACATGAATCCACCCAGCTGACATAGAATGTAAGACAATGAATCCACACAGCTGACATAGAATGTAAGACAACCCCTGAATCCACCCAGCTGGCATAAAATGTAAGACAACACATTAATCCACACAGCTGACATAGAATGTAAGACTACACACGAATCCACGCAGCTGACATAGAATGTAAGACAATGAATCCACACAACTGACATAGAATGTAAGACAACACATAAATTCACCCAGCTGACATAGAATGTAAGAAACACATAAATCCGCACAACTGACATAGAATGTAAGGCAACGCATGAATCCACCCAGCTGACATAGAATGTAAGAAACACATAAATCCACACAACTGACATAGAATGTAAGACAACACATGAATCCACACAGCTGTAGTGAATCTCATTTTCTCCCAGTTAATGTATGTCCGACAGATGACGTCAGTAATAAATGTGAGTGGAATATTTTGATTCTAACTGGGACGGCACGGGAATTGTTAAGTCTGAAATTCACGGGAATTATAAAGAAATGCTGATGGTCAAGCTTTACGTGGAGTATAATTATTCACGTGAAGAAATGTTGACTGTCGAACTTCATGCCGTGAAACTGAAGAAGCACGGAATATTCAGGGAAAAAGAAGCAGGGAGTAGAAGGCTATATAATATCGTGCAAAGGGCTGGGAGTCAGTCTCGCTTGGACCCAGGAACAGAGTGCATGGACAGCGGTGGATGATGTGTGGATTCAGCAGATGTTTTTGAGTGAATTTGTTCCAGTCCAACTTGGCGAAAAAAGCTGGCCAGCAACATGTCTGCGGGTCGTCTGAGTTTGTCTGTCAGGACAGTTGTTGTGTTTTTCGTTCAAGATGTTAGTGTAGGACGATTGTGATTTCTGCTTGAAGGTAATATTTGATACTTGCGTTATAATGTGTGCCTGGACAGTTGTCTATTTCATGTGCCGGCTGTGTAAGCCGCGAGTGGAAGATTAAAGTGCTGGAACAGTATCGTGTTGTTTTTCCAGTCGTCCATTTTCTGCTCGTCGTGTGATGTCGGTTTGTGAGATAGAGCAAGCGTGCGATGATGCGAGCCAGGTAGAAGATAAAGTCATAGAATGTAAGAAACTCATAAATCCACACAACTGACATAGAATGTAAGACAACACATGAATCCACACAACTGACATAGAATGTAAGACAACACATGAATCCACACAGCTGACATAGAATGTAAGACAACACATGAATCCACACAGCTGACATAGAATGTAAGACAACACATGAATCCACACAACTGACATAGAATGTAAGACAACACATGAATCCACACAACTGACATAAAATGTAAGACAACACATTAATCCACTCAACTGACATAGAATGTAAGACAACACATGAATCCACACAACTGACATAGAATGTAAGACAACACATGAATCCACACAGCTGACATAGACTGTAAGACAACACATGAATCCACACAATTGACATAGAATGTAAGACAACACATGAATCCACACAATTGACATAGAATGTAAGACAACACATGAATCCACACAGCTGACATAGAATGTAAGACAACACATGAATCCACACAGCTGACATAGAATGTAAGACAACACATGAATCCACACAGCTGACATAGAATGTAAGACAACACATGAATCCACACAATTGACATAGAATGTAAGACAACACATGAATCCACACAACTGACATAGAATGTAAGACAACACATGAATCCACACAATTGACATAGAATGTAAGACAACACATGAATCCACACAATTGACATAGAATGTAAGACAACACATGAATCCACACAACTGACATAGAATGTAAGACAACACATGAATCCACACACAGCTGACATAGAATGTAAGACAACACATGAATCCACACAGCTGACATAGAATGTAAGACAACACATGAATCCACACAATTGACATAGAATGTAAGACAACACATGAATCCACACAACTGACATAGAATGTAAGACAACACACATGAATCCACACAATTGACATAGAATGTAAGACAACACATGAATCCACACAATTGACATAGAATGTAAGACAACACATGAATCCACACAACTGACATAGAATGTAAGACAACACATGAATCCACACAGCTGACATAGAATGTAAGACAACACATGAATCCACACAGCTGACATAGAATGTAAGACAACACATGAATCCACACAATTGACATAGAATGTAAGACAACACATGAATCCACACAGCTGACATAGAATGTAAGACAACACATGAATCCACACAGCTGACATAGAATGTAAGACAACACATGAATCCACACAGCTGACATAGAATGTAAGACAACACATGAATCCACACAGCTGACATAGAATGTAAGACAACAGATTATAACCGTTTGTCTGCAGCAGTAGTTGCCATGCTCACTACTATTATAACCTTTTGTCTACATCGGCATAGATTTCAGCAATTTAGTCTTGATAAAGTGTTTCCCTGCAAGGTCTCCAGAACCGTAAATTCGGCGAAAACGCCCATGAGCGGGCCGATACAAAGGGACAAATACAAACAAGGCCACTGTGGAAAAAGACAGCCGGAGTAATACAGTGAAGCAACGTGTAGATCCGGTTTCTGAGGACAGGAGATTTGGAAGAAAGTGGAGGAGGAGGAGGAGGAGAAGGCGAGGAGGACACTAGAGTGGCTGTGGCAGAGAACAAGCAGTAGCAAATGAAGACGGATTAGGAGAAGAGTAAGAAGCAGAGAAGGGAGGGGAAGTAAGAGAAGTTTTTATCATATCTCAGAGAACATTTGTAAACCTACTAACTTGATCTTTGGCTTAAAAAAGGCCTCATTCTACTGGCCCCAAGTCTAGATAATTGTGAGATTACTTAGCTAGTAGTAAATGCGTTCAACAATTTTATGAACCTCGAGTACTATGGTTCGATGTCGGCGGCTGGTTGTTTATTTGTTTTTAAAAGCTTTCGTGTATTTGGACACACAATGGTAAGAGAGTCGCAGTGTGGAAGAGACTAGTGGTTCACCAAATACAAAGGTAGGTTACACACTCCAACCTTCCCTGTGGCAACAACTCACAAATTGAGGGAAGACAATTCACTCACCAAAAGTCGAATTGTCATCTACCAGGATGATTTGCTTCAGTAGATGAGCAGGGGTCCGGTCGATAACACTGTGTACAGATCTCAGTAGTGGAGTCCAAGCCTCGTTGTAGAAGATGATGATGACACTGATTTCTGGCAGCGTCCCGTTGAAGTTCTCTACCAGTTTCCGACAGCTGTGGGAGGCATGACCAAGTCGGTCGGTTATCTTCCAAGTTATATGCTGTGTTCTATATCTTCTAGCCTAACGAGAGTTCACGTTAATACAACGAGGCCATGTGTGTATTTCCTTATGTGTCCCTTGTCCCTAACGCTCCCACCTCCCCCAAAAATATTTTTCACAGGTTTAGCCTCCATAGCCCCTCAAAGACCCCAGGCTGTAAAACACCCACCCCTCTCACACCATGTATACAAGCTTTCTTTCGGTTTAGGTCAAATATTTTTTTTCTGCTTTTTTTGGGGTAAACTTTTAATTTTTCTTAAAATAATCTCTTTTTTAACCTGATAACACACACTCACGCACACACATAAACAAACACACGCGCAAATATGCAGATATAATATTTAAAATTACACACTTAAACGAGGCTTAGACCACCACCCCCGAGACCCTAAGGCCACTTTCTGCATCCCACTGCATCCAGACTCCACCCCCCCCCCCCCCCAACCTCATTGACAATATCGTTACCATCCTTGGACATCAGGCAACACCAGAGTAGCAGTATGTATAGACATCAACAGATGCCTCCTGTATACAATTGTTGGAGGCTGAACAGGGTACTGAGAGTTTGTCTTGTTGGATGACGAGTCTTTGGGTCACATGGGTAGTCGAACTTGCAGCTATTAGCCTTATCATCAGTTCTCTTTATGTCTAGTGGCACATGAGGCTTCAGAGAGGACTTTCCATGATTTCCTGTCCTGTGCAATCTTCAATGCAGTTTTCCATGTCAAAGATGCCACACTCAGGTCACTTTACATTGTTCGTCTCCATGTTGTTTTTGGGCGCCCCTGTTTTCTCTTTCCCTCTGGTGTCCATGTGAGAGCTGTTTTGGCAGGTATATCAGGATTCATTCTCATAACGTGGCCAAGCCATTTCCATCTTCTCTTGGTTATCATAGAGAGTTTCGTGGTTTGTGACTTGAAGTAGTTTAGTGGTTGAGATTGTATCTGGCCAGAAAATTTTAATAATTCTACGTAGACATGTGTGGTGGAAGGTGGACAGCTTGTGTGCATCCTTTTTTGTCATTCTCTAGCATTCTGCTCCATAAAGAAGAACTGGCAAAATGATGCTCTTGTAGAGTCGGAGTTTTGTTCCTCTGCAGTAATCGTTGGATTTGCAGATTTGCCTCATCCTTCCAAAAGCAGCTCTAGCTTTGTTCAGTCGTGACTGTATGTCTTCCTCTGTCCCTCCCAGTAGGGACACCACACTGCCAAGATATGTGAAATATTTTACATTTTCATGCGATTGTTTACTTATGGTCACTGGTTGTTGGTTTGGACTGTTTGTCATGATCTTAGCTTTCTTTGCAATTTTTTTCAGTCCCACAATTTCTGCTGTGCTGTGTAGTCTGTTACTTTTCTCTTGTACATGTTCATGTTTATGTAATAGGAGTGCTTTATCATCTGCAAAATCAAGGTCCTCAAGCATGGTGAATGGAGTCCATCGTATGCCTTTCAATGTCTTGTCTACTGACAGACGGACAGACAGACAGACAAATGTGCTAGACAATACTCACATATTGGACCTACAATCTGGCAACCTCCTATGAACAGATATCATGTCACTGACGTACTGGCTGAAGGAATTAAGCACCAGTCCCTGGTCGAAGCGGGCCTTCTCTTCTTCAGAATTGAGGCTCTCCCTGTTGATGTTTACCGCAGTTCCGTTCTCCCCTGGCGATGATATCAGTGACAGACATAATCGTCAAGGAATCTTCGTTACATGTATTCAGATTTATTTTTTTCTTTTTCTGTTGCTGCTGCTAATGTTGCTGTCAACATTACTACCACCATCAAACATTGACATAGAGACACAGTGAGACACGCAAACATTGACATAGAGACACAGTGAGACACGCAAACATTGACATAGAGACAGTGAGACACGCAAACATTGACCGAGAGACACAGTGAGAGACGCAAACATTGAAATAGAGACACAGTGAGACACTCAAACATTAACATAGAGACACAGTGAGACACGCAAACATTGACATAGAGACAGTGAGACACGATAACATTGACATAGAGACACAGTGAGACACGCAACCATTGACATAGAGGCACAGTGAGACACGCAAACATCGACATAGAGACACAGTGAGACACGCAAACATTGACATAGAGACACAGTGAGACACGCAAACATTGACATAGAGACACGATGAGACACGAAAACATTGACATAGAGACACGATGAGACACGAAAACATTGACATAGAGACACAGTGAGACATGCAAATATTGACATAGGGACACAGTGAGACACGCAAACATTGACATAGAGACACAGTGAGACACGCAAACATTGACCGAGAAAGATAGTGAGACACTCAAACATTGACACAGAGACATAGTAAGACAAGTAACCGTTGACGCAGAGATATGATGAGACACGCAACCATTGACACAGAGACCCAGTGAGTAGTATAAGAGTCGTTTAGAGGTATTATTTACATCTGGGGACTTAGCACCTTACATATTTATCCTTAGTAAAAGATGACGGCCATCTAACGTCACAAATGATTAGGGGTTGTTTGTCGGCGTTTTCTTTTTAGAGAACTGAAATAGTTTTAAGGAAGGCAACTCGATAATCCTTTAGTGCAAGGCCTGAAGATATATTCCGCAGTTTCAAGCAATAACTTCAAGCGACGAGTTCAAGTAATTACTTCAATTACTGCAGTCTTGCTCTTTGCTTCAGCTTTACGCGGGTCCATATGTCGCTGGTTGTGATCTGAATCAAGCCAGCCTTTGTAGCTGTGTGTGTGTGTGTGTGTGTGTGTTTTATTTTTTTTCCAAGTCTGTAAAAAGATATCAGAGCCGTCTCTTGTTTTGATGGTTAGGAAGTTCCGTTAGGGACCCAAGTAACAGAAGATTGGGAGTCCCTGTCTGTAAATCTTATAATGGTGGCCCTGTTGTCTTGTGTTCTGTCTTCCCTGCCTATAGACCCATTATTAGCTGGATGCTAATTGTGGTCTGCTGTGGGTATGACACCGTGAATAGAAGACGGTTGCCTCCTGTTCGATGTGTTTAATAGAAGGGTTGAGTCTCACTGTCTAGAGACCTCTCCTCTGTTAGCTTGTCATAGATCATCCCGTATTAAACGTATAGCCGGATTCCCCTGCCCCAATAATAGTTCAAACACGATCGGTTATGGTAGCCAGTAATACGACGCAGATGTGACATATTTTTGGATGCCGGTCGCTCAGGGAAGGTTTAAAAGGATAATTTGTGGCAAAATTGCGGCCGTTAGGTCAAAGTATTGAATGCCGGCCGATCAGGGAGGGTTTGAGCTGTAGTAAAAAGGAGAACGCACGGCAGAAAGGCGGATGTCTTGTCATAGTGTTAGATTTTGGTAGTTCAGGGAGGGGTAAAGTTGTTGTAAAAATGAAAACTATAGCGAAGCGGCGGCCTTTGTGACATAGTATCGGATGCCGGCCGCTCAGGGAGGGTTTGAGTTGAGGTTGAAAGGAGGATTTATTGCAAAATATTGACTTTTATGTCACAGTATAGTGAGTCAGGCAAACATTGTAACAGAGACATAGTGAGACATGCAACCATTGTAACAGAGACATAGTGAGAATGCAATCATTGTTACAGAGACATAGTGAGACACATCAGCCGCACAGACAAAAGACCAGCCGTACTCAACCAGCCACACAGAAACAAGACCAGCCAGTTCTCAACCAGCCAGACAGACACAATCCCACCCAGTACTCATCCAGCCACACAGACGCAAGACTAGCCAGCACTCAATCAGCCACACAAACACAATCCTAGCCAGCACTCAATCAGCCACACAGACACAATCCCAGACAGTACTCAGCCAGCTACACACACACACAATCCCAGCAAGTACTCATCCAGCCACCAGATACAATCTCAGCCAGCACTTAACCAGCCACTCTGACTCGGTCCCAGCCAGTACTCAACCAGCCACACAGACTCGGTCCCAGCCAGTATTCAACCAGCCACACAGACTCGGTCCCAGCCAGTACTCAACCAGCCACACAGACTCGGTCCCAGCCAGTACTCAACCAGCCACACAGACTCAGTCCAGCCAGTACTCAACCAACCACACAGACTCGGTCCCAGCCACTACTCAACCAGCCACAGAGACACAATCCCAGCAAGTACTCATCCAGCCACACAGACTCGGTCTTAGCCAGTACTCAACCAGCCACACAGACTCGGTCTCAGCCAGTACTCAACCAGCCACACAGACACAATCCCAGCCAGTACTCAACCAGCCACACAGTCTAGGTCCCAGTCAGTAATCAACCAGCCACACAGACTAGGTCCCAGCCAGTACTCAACCAGCCACACAGACACAATCCAAGCCGGTACTCAAGCAGCCACACAGACACAATCCCAGCCAGTACTCAACCAGCCACACAGATTCGGTCCCAGCCAGTACTTAACTAGCCACACAGACTCGGTCCCAGCCAGTACTCAACCAGCCACACAGACTCAGTCCCAGCCAATACTCAACCAGCCACACAGACGCAAGACCATTTAGCACTCAACCAGCTACACACACACACAATCCCAGCAAGTACTCATCCAGCCACCAGACACAATCCCAGCCAGCACTTAACCAGCCACACAGACACAATTCCAGCCAGTACTCAACCAGCCACACAAACACACAATCCCAGCAAGTACTTATCCAGCCACATAGACACAATCCTAGCCAGTACTCAACCTGCCACACACACACACAATCCCACCCAGTACTCAACCAGCTACACACACACACAATCCCAACTAGTACTCATTCAGCCACACAGACTCGGTCCCAGCCAGTACTCAACCAGCCACACACACACACAATCCCACCCAGTACTCAACCAGCCACACACACACACAATCCCAGCTAGTACTCATTCAGCCACACAGAGACCAGCCAGTACTTAACCAGCTACACACACACACACCCACACACACACATACAATCCCAGCCAGTACTCAACCAGCCACACAGACTCGGTCTCAGCCAGTACTCAACCAGCCACACAGACTCGGTCTCAGTCAGTACTCAACCAGCCACACACACAGCCTGAAGTACTCAGAGGATGTCAGTGCCCAGGAACCAAGTTAAAACAGAACAAACCTGGACATTTAACATCACAGTAGTCCACAAAGGGCGGTAACTTCACAGTCTCCAGGGATCCTGCAACAACAGTTGAATATATTTTAAGATGACACGGGTTGTCTGCTCCTTGTGAGAACCTTATTGCGGGTATTGGATGGGGACATGTATGTGGATGCGCAAGCTTATTCATTTATAAATTATTTAAAAGTCGATTGAGTGTTGATTGCTATATTCAGATTTGGTAAGTGCCATATGCTCAATCGACTTTAAGGAGCGGAAACGAGTCCTATGTCCAAATTGACGAAACTCCCCTTAGAGTGACAATTAGTAAAAGTACTTTGGAGTGGCTGCTGCTTCGGAGAACTGAGCCCGCATGGGAATGCCCAATGTGCAGTGACATCAAGTGTGATAACAAAACATAAAATAACATTTTGTAGGGAGTCCCTTCCCCAGCTAATAATGAGGGTACTGCTGGGGTGACCGTTTATTAACCCTCATATAATGCTTCAGGTCAAAATGGATGCTAGGCACGGCCACCCTTTTTTCCCTGAAAGACGGTGGCCTTGGCATTTTTGCTCCATTTGTAGACTGGAAGGATATAGTTTCGTCGCCCAGCTTCTGAGTTGAGTGCATGGCGTGACACTGTGAGCTACGTGTGTTTTTCGTTGGCACAGGAGCGGAGCAACTATGGGGTGACCTGTTTGCTATGAAGCTGAAACTAGGATTACCAGAGTGGCCTCAGTAGTCGAGACTACAAGTATAGAACTTGGAGGTCTGCCACTTTGAGCTCCCTCTCCATATTTTTCATATTTTTTAAAGGGAGCTGAGGGACTTCCACCCCCCCCCCCCCCCCCCTATTTTTTCCCCAATACTTCTATAGGCTGATCTCCCCCCCCCCCCCCCCCACCCCCAGAACATTTGCAAGGAGGCTATGTAATTTCCCTAAACATGCACTGATGTTCTGTTTCTAAGAATGTTTACATTTTATATTATTTCGCATATAAAAATAAAACTACTATTATTACGCACTCAGACACGGCCTAATGCATAGAATATATCAATTATAAGAGGGCTAATCAACTCAATTAATATTGTTGCTGTTTATTGTTTTTGTGGTTCGTATGCCAAGAATGGCTCTGGCTGGAACGTCTTTTTGTTGTGCACGCCAACGTTCTTCCGATGGCTCCTTTGGTTAAGCTACAGTTGAGTAGACTACTTGCTACAAAGAACGATCAGGACATCCGGCTAATCAGACATCAGCCGCCATGACCCTCTAGACATCACCAATCGGGTGTAGTCGTTCTACAGATCTCAGGTGAGCAACTATCAAAACATCAGCCGCCATGACCCTCTAGACATCACCAATCGGGTGTAGTCGTTCTACAGATCTCAGGTGAGCAACTATCAAAACATCAGCCGCCATGACCCTCTAGACATCACCAATCGGGTGTAGTCGTTCTACAGAC